CGTAGCAGTGGTCCCGGTCCCCCAGGGCGAGGTGCTCAGCAGTGCTGCGGCCGGCCCTCTCGAGGTAGTGGGTGCCAGGGCGTGCAGCGGCTGGGCTATGTCCCAGCCCATTGGTGCAGCCACTCACCAGCTGGTGCTTCTCGCAGGTGCTGCCGGCGCCGTTGCGGGCACTGGGCGCGTGGCTGTAGGTGTGCTTGTACTCCTCTGCTAGGTCCTTCCCCAGCTTCCAGCGCTGCCACCTCTTCAGCAGCTCTGCCTGCACCTGTGGGCAGCCACTGTCAGTGTGGTCCCATACCTACCGGCTGCCCAAGCACTCCTTGGCTGCCCTTCTCCCATACCACCCTGCTCACCTCCTTGTTGACAAAGCAGTAGAGAATGGCCACCAGCATCCCCTGGATGGAGGGAGAAGAGGCATGAGAGGCATGCAGCTGGACCCTGGCCCCAGCCCTGATCTGGTCCCTCCTGAGACAGAGGGTCCACATGGAGGGCCAGTCTTGTGTGGAGCTCAGCTCACCTGGAAGGAGCTCAGGAAGAGGTCAAAGAACAGCTTGACATAGCGCAGGGTGCCCTGGGCATGCTCGTCTGTGACAAAGGCGAAGACCACCTCGTGGATGCCCAGCAGTGGGATCAACGTTAGCGTGGACTTGGCCAGCCTGTGTGAAGACAGGCCCGTCAGCACCGGGGTCACAGGGTGGGCACACACACACACACGCACCAGCCTGTGCACCACAGGCATGTGGGGCTGGGGCTGTGCCCACCACCCACCTGAACTTGTAGTCAGTGTAGCGCATTTGATGTGCGCGGAGCTTGGAGACAAGAATCTGGATGATACGGATGAAGATGAAGAAGTTGATCTGCAGTGGAGCGGAGTGAGTCATGAGGGGCAGGGTTGGGCAGGACAGGGCAGGGGCAGGCAGGGCAGCTCTGTCCCCTGCCCAGGGCAGCCCCTTTCGCAGCAGGCTTGGGATCCTCAGAGGCACAGAGCAGCTCTGCCCACCACAGCCCCAGACTCACCAGGATGGCCAGGAACACGGGGAAGCGAAGGATCCACCAGAAGCCCATGTTGTTGTTAGTGGTCCAGCACCTGCAGAGGTCAGGGAGGGGTACTGCCGGGCAGCCCCTTGACCAGGCGGCTGCTAGAGCCTAGCATGGCATTGGCAGCCCCAGCTGAGCAAGCGCCATCGCCCGGCACCCTGCTCCTTGCATAGGGCGATGGTGTGGAGCCTCCCCAGGGCCATCACACCAACCCTCAATGTGTGTCATGCACGCCTGCCTGTGCCCTGCACACCCACAGGTGCTGACCCGCTGCAGGGGCTGGTACTCACTGGATGTTTTCGTAGAGGAACTTCACGACGACCCAGGGGATGAGGAACAGCACGGGCGCCCCTGCAGAGGAGGTGGGAAGGGGGCAGGTGAGGCATGGTGGGGGTCAGGGGATGGGAATGAGGAGCTAGCCCACCTGCACTCACCCCAGCCAATGCACAGGTAGAGGGTGAAGTAGCTCCTCTCAGAGAAGACGGCCACCACCAGGAGGTTGTGCAGGTAGATGCCCTCCACCAGCAGCCAGCAGTAGTTGGCCACGATGCCGTACTGCATGAAGACCGGGGCTGCCCGCCAGCCTGCGGCCGCCTGTGGGCAGGGGTCAGGGCTGCTGCACTGCCCGCATCCCCTGGCCCCACTGGCCCCATGGCTCACCTCGTCACTCAGCCAGATGTGCACATTGTAGTCGTCGATCTTGTCGCTGTAGTGGGTCTTGAGCAGGGCGTCAATGACCAGCACGGAGACGCCCTTTAGGATGAAGGAGGCGAAGAGGTTCATGTGGATGTAGTTCCTCATTTGGCCCCTGCCTGCCCCCAGCCAGGCGGCCATGCCTGGCCCCTACCTGAAGCCCAGCAGCAGGGCCAGGGCGAGGAGCAGCGCACACAGCGACACTGAGTAGCCCACGGTGTACATCACCTTGAAGCTGCCGTAGGTCTTG